GAGGGCTTTTCCAACCGAGCGATCCTGTGATCTCTATCATGGCCACTGTTCTAGAGGCAATCCCAAGCAGCATCAGCTCTAAACGAACACAGAATGCAAAGCATTTCACACTGTTGTGTCGTCAACAGTTAATGCTCAAACGCAGAAAACCCAAGCAAAGGGAATAAAAGCATTTGAGCACAGTAACACTACACTGAAACACTGCTCCCAATCCACACCCCGAATATTAAGCTTTGCTCCAGGAGTGCCCTGTGCTGAGGTCAGCCCACACGCTGGGGCTTTTCAAGGCAGCACCTGCCAGTTGCAAATCAGGGCTTTAAGCATGACACAAAATTTAAATGCATCGATAGCAGAAGCACTGAGTTAAAATCCACCCCTGGAACAGGGAAAGCTTTAACAGCTGGAGATGGGAAGTCTGTGTTGCCACTCAGGTCAGCAGTGGGCTTTTTTTGCTAGTTACCTCAAAGGAGAGAGATGCAGTTGGCCTCAAAACTCCAGCTGCGATGACTGAAGCTGTCCATGACTCTCAGCAAGTCAGTTTTACATCAATACTGTGTGGCCCTGCGAGCGACTGCAACTTTAACCACAACTACTGAAAAAAATCCTTAATCACTGAAGAACTGAAGCACTTCTCCAGTTTCTCTCCTCACAGAGATGGTCTTCAGAAGGCAAACACCAACTCCTAAAAACAGAGGTCGGAACACCTGCAAACCCTTCGCTCACCCCCCGATTGAATGACCAATGTTAGAGAGCAGCGTAGGGGAAAGGGACCTGGGGTCCTGGTGGCCAGCAGGATGACCATGAGCCAGCACTGTGCCCTTGTGGCCAAGAAGGCCAACGCCATCCTGGGGTGGATGAGAAGGGGTGGTTGTAGGGCAGAGAGGTTCTCCTGCCCCTCTACTCTGCCCTGCTCAGACCCCATCTGGAATATTGCGTCCAGTTCTGGGCCCCTCAGGTCAAGAAGGACAGGAACTGCTGGAGAGAGTCCAGCGTAGGGCTACAAAGATGATGGAGGGAGTGGAGCATCTCCCTTCTGAGGAGCGGCTGAGGGAGCTGGGGCTCTTTAGTTTGCAGAAGAGGAGACTGAGGGGAGACCTCATTCATGGTTATCAATATTTAAAGGGTGAGTGTCACGAGGATGGAGCCAGGCTCTTCTCGGTGACAAACAATGATAGGACAAGGGGAAAAGGACACAAACTGGAACACGAGAGGTTCCACTGAAATTGGAGAAGAAACTTCTTCTCAGTGAGGGTGACAGAGCCCTGGCCCAGGCTGCCCAGAGAGGTTGTGGAGTCTCCTTCTCTGCAGACATTCAAAACCCGCCTGGACGCCTTCCTGTGTAACCTCATCTGGGTGTTCCTGCTCCGGCAGGGGGATTGGACTGGATGAGCTTTGGAGGTCCCTTCCAATCCCTGACGTTCTGGGATTCTGTGATTCCCTGGCTGCCCAACGCAGCGCTCGCTGCAGCACTGGGTGGTCGGAGCAGACCCATGTGCTAGCCAGAAAAAAAGCAAAGGCATTTCCTTACTTGCTCAGCGCTATCGCGTTCGATGAATCACTGCCATGCGCCCATTTGTCAGGTTTTCTTTATTCTAGCATCACTTTTGCATTCCTACTTGTGATAGTACGTTTTGGAACTCTGGTTCACGAGACAAACTGGAAGATTTTCTTTAAAACCATTTTCTTTAAAAAGAAAGAAGAAAAAAAAAAGACAAATCTAAGCCACAGCAAAGGACAGGACCAACACCAGACCTTGGGTGTGAACAGCAGTGGACCTGTGGGGAAACCAAGGCAGGTGAGGAGGCAGCAGACAGCACAGATTTTGGCCCTTCATTTGGGAAGCAAGAGATGGGGAAAGGCTGATGCCAAAAAACTGAACTCTGTGGTGCAGGAACACTGCACGGTGCCAGACACTGAACATGGCAGCGTTTCATGTACCACCTGCACCGTTGTCTCCTGTGGCCGATGGGAATGCTGGAAACCTCATCCAGAGGCTTCGCTCACCTCCCTGCAGAGCGCACATCGCTGCTCCCCTCCACACTCAGACACGCGCTCGTAACTCCACGCACTCCTGTCTCTGCACAGTCACCACCACGCTCACAGCTACACAAGCACACCTGCCTGCTGTGCTGTGCTGACACCCCCCACAGACGACGGTCCCCTCCAACTGTCACAAAAAACCACTCACATCCCCCTTTTGCTGTCCCACCTTCCCACCAGCCTTCCCGGGGAGCAGCTTCCCCCGTGTAGGGCTGGCCACACGAAGCCACATGCACAGCAACACACACGCTGATGAGTGGCCACATGTGTCGGCACACACGAGATGCTCTGCAGATTGCTGAACCCTAATGGTGACAGGAAGGGCCTACGTCCCTGCTTCTTTCCAAACATCGTGTGTTTAAAAACATAAATCCTACTGGAAAGTCCTGGAAGCAAATTGGAGTGTGAAATCCTCGTGGCTGCTGACAGGAGAGACCAAGGTGGAGCCAGACCATAAAAGGCCTTCTAGAAGAAGAGGTGGTTGTGGAGCCAGGAAGGAGGCAGGAGGTGCTCCTGTTGTGGATTGTGAGGGGTCCAGGCTGGAACCAGATCCCACAGGGAGAGTCCTGGCCCAGTACCAGCCTCTGGGTGCAGCACCAGTTCTGGAGGGAGAGCGGATGGAGGCTCCCCAGCTCTCCGAGGCTGGGGTGAGAGGTCTGGATCAGTCCAGCCCCAGGTCTGAGTCAGACGACGACCGCTCATCGGTCACATCGCAGATGGCGTTTTCCATGGGGGCCAGGTTGCCGCTCGGCGTGATGCCCATGGGCTGGATGACTTGCTCCCTGCAACCCGCAAGGAGAGGGGAGAAGGGAACACAAATTTGCAGCAGACAACACAGGAACAGGCGAATACTTGAGCAGAAACACCGGGCTGGTGGAAACTACCCTGAGCAGCCCAGAACAACCCCAGGCCAGCACCAAGAATCCCTTTTCAGAAAGAGCACATGGGAATGCACACAGCAAACATGCTGCCCTCTGCCTCCCACCCTGGGGGTGGTCTGAGCTTAGCTGTCAGACTCTGGGCTTCTCTTTCTGACACCTATTAACAATGAATGAAAGGTAACTGGCAAAAGCAGTCCTGCAGGGAAAGGGACTGGGTAGCACTGGCTGCCATCGGTCCCCAAAATGCTGCTTCCTGCTGAGGCGCCGTGCCAGGACAGAAAGAGCACCTGGCCAAACCTGGTGAGGCAGCAAGGGCCTGGAAGCACAGTGCAGGTGTGCACAGGAATTTTGTGGTATGTCATTGTCCCAGAGAGGTGCACAGGGCTTGCAGTGCCTTCCCCTGCAACACACCAGGGCCAGGCTTCAGGAAATATTTCCCCTAATCTCCCTCTTACATCTCTTCAGTTAGTGGTGGCCTTGGGAACACACTCAAAGAAAGGTCAAATGTAAATCGGAGACGTGCAGGTGCTAATGCAGACACGAACATAAACAGTTTTTAAGTACCTGGACAGTTTGTCAAACATGCTGACTAACTTCATGGCTTCATATTCCTTCTGCTCTTCAGTCATCCCTTCCATGGGGTTGGGTAGTTTCTCCTCAACGCGTCCAGTCACAGGATTAATGCTACAAGAACAGTGAGGGTGGGGTGAAGGAGGGAGGTAAAGAAAGGAGTGAGAAAAGGGCTGTTTAAAAACCTTCTTTGCCTTTACTGAGCACAGGAACACAAGAGCAGGGCTGGTTGTCAATGCTGCTCAGCTCGTGAGCCCCAAGCACTATTGCAGTGCAACGTGGTGCTTCCAACCTCTTTCTGTATGTCCTACGCAGAGTCATCCCCCCTACAAATCCCTCCCATTTCTCTGCTGTGAGCAACATCCCCATCCTGCCAGTGCCACAGTGGAGTTTCATACCAGGTGCACAAGAGCGGGTGACACCTCTTCCTTCTCCTTCAGTCAGGAGGCAGAATGTTAACACAGAAAGAAAAAGCCCAAAACTTCAACCTTTAGACCTTATTGAACAGGATGCTAGGGAGTATAGGACCCACAGCTGAGGACAGCCCTAGAACCCTCCCTGTACACCCCTCAACCTCAGGGAGCCACCATCCACTAGCAGGAAAAACGAAAAAAAACCAAGAAAATAATTAAAACAAACCCACCCCAAAAAAAACCAACAAAAAACCAGCTCACTCCAGCAGCAATGGGCTCTGGAGGTGGAGTGTGTGTGAAAGAGCAGGACAAGGGAGAAAGCAGGGAGGCAAATGAAGAACGAGACAGAGCAGTAGTGGGAACACGGGCGTTACAAAGGGAGAGCAGACTTCTTTACTTGGGCTTTGCCTCTTTGTACTCCTCAGTGTCTGTGTCTTCATCTTCCGAGTACTCCCCCTCTTCCCGACCACCAGCCATGAGGCCTCGCGCTGCCAGGAGCCCGGCCGCATTCCCGTAGCCCGTGTACTTCACAAACCGTGACACTGCCGGGAGAAAGGGAGAGAGACCACCCTGTGCTTCCCCTCCTACCTCTCCAGCCCCATCTGCTCCTGTGTGCCCCAGGAGCAGGACCAGTGCAAAGCCACAGAGACCCAGAAATGCCGACACTTCTTTGAGCTCTGACAGGGAGCCAGGCTCCCACGGTGTGCACTAGGAACAGGCAGGGACAACACCCATGGGGCAGGGGTCTGGATCCAGGCCAGGGTGTCTGCAGGGTGTCAGCAGGTCCTCCAGCAGAGATCTTCACCCACCACTGGCATGAGAGACAGCAGCTCCTTCCCACAGAGCACTTGGATACTTTCTGCTTTTCCCTAATCGGTGTCTCTCGCCCAAGGGAGGACAGAAATTGGGCTGCAAAGGGCCATCCATCCCATGCTCTCTGGCTTGCCCAGAGGCCAGACTCCAGGACTCCCCGTCACCAAAGGCCACAGCAAACCCCTGCAACTCACCGCTCTCCTTGCAGAGCACGAAGAGGAACTCTGCCGCACAGTGCTTCACGTCGGTGTCAATGTGGGTCATCAAACGCACCAGCTTGTTCCGCAGCGAGTTCCCCACCTCCGGACGATTCTTCACATCTCGGAGCGGTGGCAGCACCTACAAGACCACAGTGAGAGGCGATCAGCAGAGCTGGAACAGCAATGGCAGGTCAGACAGGAAACAAGAAAATCTACAGAGCATGGAAGATGTGGAAAAAAGACCGTGGGTACCAAAGGCCTAATACATCAGAGCCTAGAGAGACAGAGGAGGTCTGTTAGGAAGATGGCAATAATTAAGCAATTTGCTACTCTCCTCTCTCCTCAGTGCAGCACCCTGCAGCTTCTGTCTGAACCAGAGCATACCTTCGACTTCAGGAACTTCCTCGTCTGGCGGTGGACTCGGGCGCTCTCAGTCAGCAGGTTCAGCACAGGGGTCAAACTCTCCTTCAGCTTGTGGCCCTGCAGAAACGTCCACAAATGGAGCAACACGTTAGTCACACTGCACTCAACTTTTCTGGCTTGTGGTGGAAAACGTGCCTAGAGATCATCAGGGAAACAAATGGACACCAAGCCTCTGCTACAGGCATTTCAGTGCTTCATCACTCCCCAAGCGGCACAGCTTTCCAAGCCCCGCTCTGTGGCACAGCAGCGCTGGAAATATTTGTGCGGGGCATCCAGAGTAGAGAAGTGCTGCAGTAAAATTCAGGGGCCCTTTAGAATAACTCTAGAGACTGAAAACCACAGCCAGCTTGAAGGTAAAGAAAATTCAGGCTTCCATAATTCAATCATCAGATCACTGAGTGCAACAGAACACCCATATCTGAATTGCCCAGCAAATCATCTGCTGTTCAACCAGTTTCACTACCTGCAGCCCATAAAGCAGTGATGCAGTCACGTTCCCAGTCAACCCACGTTGTTTTAGTCCTACCAACCATAACAGTTTTGCCTCTGCTAAAAACTGACCTTTCTATAAAGGGATATCTGCAAACTAACCATGCCTTGCTGGTACTCCTGTGGTGCTGGCACTGGGCTTTTCAAGGCTGAATGTAGGCTGAAAGAAAGATGCCCTGCAGTGAGCTTGTGCAAATGAGCAGTGAGGTACCCACACAGCAGCCTCTGGACTTACCCTGTCCAGGCGTCGCTCCAGAAAATCCAGCAGGATGTTGACAGCATCCATGTTCACACCCATGTACTCAAGTGAGCCTGGCCGGACTTTGGGGGTCAGGAGGACATCCAGACATTTCAGGGGCAGGTTGCCCAGAAGGTTAACTGTATGACTAAACGTATAAAAGAGAAGTGAACACATAGTCATGGATCTTTGTTCACAGAACTTCTTCAGCTATACCAAAATGAAGGCTCATTACTGACTTCCAGGGGTGTGAGGACCCTGAAATCTGAGTTGTCTCTGGGCTGCATCCCAAGCTCCTCACCCCACTACAAGGGTATAAATTAAACTGATTTTTGGGTAGTTGAACTATTTGCTGGGAATCCAAAGAGACCTCAGTGACAACTGAGAAGCCATGGATCTTAATACAGAGCTAAGTAGGACCAAGCTAAGTGGTCAAAGGTCCGTCTCTAAGCTCTCCTGCTGCACCACTCCTTCTCACCTTGATGGTCAATGCAATCACAGAATCCCAGACTGTCAGGGATTGGAAGGGACCTCCAAGGCTCATCCAGTCCAATCCCCCTGCCGGAGCAGGAACACCCAGATGAGGTTACACAGGAAGGCGTCCAGGCGGGTTTTGAATGTCTGCAGAGAAGGAGACTCCACAACCTCTCTGGGCAGCCTGGGCCAGGGCTCTGTCACCCTCACTGAGAAGAAGTTTCTTCTCCAATTTCAGTGGAACCTCCTGTGTTCCAGTTTGTGTCCGTTACCCCTTGTCCTATCATTGTTTGTCACCGAGAAGAGCCTGGCTCCATCCTCGTGACACTCACCCTTTAAATATTTCTAAACATGAATGAGGTCTCCCCTCAGTCTCCTCTTCTGCAAACTAAAGAGCCCCAGCTCCCTCAGCCGCTCCTCAGAAGGGAGATGCTCCACTCCCTCCATCATCTTTGTAGCCCTACACTGGACTCTCTCCAGCAGTTCTCTGTCCAATGCATGGTGCAATGCATCGCTTAGGATTCCTTTCACCACAGCTTTCTTGGGGCCAGGATGGTGTCACCTCTCAAAGATGACACCCCAGACCAATAACACTCATGAGGGTGACACATGCAATTTCTCAGCATGGCTCAAGAGACAGAGAGTTAATTAAGGCCAGCCCATGGACTCTTTAATTAAAGTACCAAACATCTGCTATGGTGTGTTGCCCACTGAAGCAGGTGGCACTGTTGAGGAAGCCTGATGCAGGATAGTGACTACTGACCCCCTTGAGGTCAGGCAGGCTTGGATAAAACACGTGTCTGTATACTGGGAGGTTGTGGCACTAGCATACATTATTTGACTGTGGGAAGGGCAGGGCTGCTTCTGAGTCCTGGCAGCACAAGGAACCTGCAGGCCAAAAACGCCTTCTTGTCAGCAGCAGCCTCAGCAATCACCAAAGCAGCAGAGGATGTTAATGCCAAGGTCAGGCAGGATCTGCCTTGGGGAGACCTCAGGTCTGCGTACAGCAAAGACCACGACCCAGTTATCCAACAAAGACCTGTGGAACTCCTCTGTCCGCTCCTCTCCATCAGCAGAGATCATGAGGCAGTGGCGCAGGAGGGCACCCAAGTGCCGGTACAAAGCAGCATCTTCCTGGCCCCGAAACAAAGAAATGAAAACTTAGATCAGGAAAGGGGATCCTTCACATCTCAGAGCCTGCTGCCCTGCAGCCCACAGTCCCCACCCCTCCCTCCAGCAGCCTGGTAACTGCTAGTAGGGTGTTTAAGTGGACATAGCCCCCTGATTCTCCTTCTGAGGTTAACACACAGTCTTCTTGCTGCCCAATCCCTTTCCCTTCACTCTACAACACTAAGTCAAGGGCTGGAAGAGGCCTCAAAACAGGCCCATGAATTAGCCAAAGGTAGTCTCCATCACAGCTTCCTTTGACCACATCCAGAAGGTGAAAGAATACCAGGCTCTGCTCTCCCATTTGTGCAATTAATCATGTCATTAAGAAGGAAAAATACCCAACTTTTACATTTTAATGCCTTAAAAGTCCTAAGGGTTAATGATGCATTGGATAGAGGCAGCGCTCTAGGGATGAGTCTGGACACCTGAGCCTCTTGCTACCCTTACACGTACCCAGGGACTGCATGAGGGCCAGTATGAAAAGTGAGGAAACGCAAGCAGAGGAGAAAAGCAGCAGGCAAACCACAGCCCAGAGACATGCAAATGCAGTGGGGTGGGACACCCAAGGAGCTTACCTCATCCACCTCCCTCTTGCTGGAATCAAAGGTGATATTGAAGAGGACTTTCAGGATCTCCATGGCTCGCTCAGTCTCCTGCCGAGGCAAAGGCGGCAGAAGACCCTCCTCGGTAGCAACTTCGTAGGGGTCCATCCACTTTACACCGAGAGTCAGCTCCAGCGTATCTGTCATCAGGCTAATGCCCCTGAGCTCCTGGGCAAGCTGCTGCCGGATGTCCACTCTCAACGCCGTCAGCAGGAACAGGAGACGCAGGTCAAAGAACTTGACCTCGTGGGGAAGGCTCCTCTCGTTGTACAGTTTGATGCGCTTGGCCAGGCCCACCACCAGCCGGGCTTCAGCTGTCAGCTCCTGTGCCCTAGCACTGCTGAAGACGATGTTGCAGAGACATTTGAGGGATTCCAGGATTACATCCAAATCTGGGACCTCTCGGATGAGCTCCTCTGAGTAATCAATGCCAGCATGCCTGGAGAGGGTCTTCAGGCCTTCCTTGGTGGTGAAGGGGTCAAGGCAGTACTTGTCCCGGGACAGGATGCGGATGCTTTCCAAACACGTCACCTGACAGGACGGCTGCAACTCTCTTTCCAGGAACTTAATCAGCAGCTGGGCCATTTTCTGTGCAGTTGGAAACAAGCAATGCCTCATGCACAGACACTTCACAGTGCTCCCCCTCCACCCTCTAATGCTGTGTCCTGCAAAATGCAAGCGTCATCCAGAGATGGGCCTGCTCGTGGCTCTGCTTCAGGGGTGCACTCAGCAGCGCTCAGGAAGTGTTTGGGTCCAGCACATGTCCCAGTTCAAGCAAGGACACCGAGCGAGAACCAAAGAATGGCTGGGAGTATATCAGATGTAAGGGGAAGAGTATCACACTGCTACTGCATATTTTAGCTTCGCTCACTGTTAGGATGTTTGGGCTAACATGGTCTACTTGATAGCTGCATTAAACAAAGAGAGGGCAGGGCAAAAAAGTCCCTCAACCAACTCTACAGCAGCTCTCTACTCCTGCCAAGAGCATTAAGGTTAAGGAGGCACCTGCTTTGCATGCTCCAGAAACAGACTGAAAAGGTTTAGACATGGGTCAGAAAACTGCCAAGGGAGGGTAAGAGGACCTAAGCAAGGCAAGAAGGGCACGTGACGCCCTAGGAAAGGAGGTGAAAAGGCCTCAGGAGATTCTAATAAGTAGTGCCTCTCTAAACCTCAACGCTGTCTGGAGACCTACTAGCCCAGATCGTCAGTAGGCAGAGCTCCACTAACACCAATTCACAACAGCCGAAAAATCTGACCCTCATGGAGAACAGCACCATGTGACAGCAAGCGATAGCAGAGCACAAGAGCACAGGTAATGCTTCACACAACCACGAGCAGCAACGCTTCACATTCCCTAGTAATCCACTGCATCAGCAATCACACCCCGAGGTTAAGGTCTCACTAGGTCTAACGTGACACCACGTCAGGCACTTCTTTCCACGCATCACAGGAGCAAAGGAATCCAAGACAGCAAGGTTTGCCATCAGTCAGCGTAATTGGCTTTACGTGGCCTAATCAGTTACACGTCAGAATAACAAAAGGACTGAGAGAAGGAATGAATTAAAAATGAAACTTAGTCCTCAATGTGAGGCTGGCAGAACTGAACAAGCTTTAATTCATGAAGTACGCCCCACAGTCCCACCTTTGAGAAGAGAGAAACTACAGCCACTCCTCTTCTTCTTGCATACAAGGAGACTGAGACACAGGGGTTAAAGATACAGTCGTAAGTAACCAAAGCCTCTGGCTGACTCAGGTTAAACAGATCTCGGAGCACGTGCCCAGGGCTAAACCTCCAGAAGAACTGAGCACCAGGAACTTGACGGCGATGCTCAATTCGTATTTCATGACGTACATCCTGAAAGTGGAGCACCTCAATGCTGTGCCTGTATTCATGGCCTGTGTGACTGTCCCAGCTCAAACAGCAAGTCAGTGCAAGGCACAGAGCTCGGATCTTGTGAGATCCAGTCCTACACGCCAGGCTGTACCTGGAAAACATTCATGCTAGCATTAGCTGGCAACGACATGGACAAAAGAGGTCCCGTTCCCCACTCTGACTGCCTGGTCCACACTTGCTATGCTAACACAGGCATTAATGCAACAAACCAACAAATTGGACCACAAAACTGAACCCACTGGAAAATAATCCAGGAAAAAATGAAAGTTATTCTTTAGGCAGACCAGCCCACCAACCACGGGCAGCCCCGCAAAGGTCTGCACTGGCATGAACTGCAAGAGTAGAAATGAGCAGGTGGGATGTTCCTTTCCGCTGAGTGCCAGATTACACCAGCTTAAAGTATCTGTTAATACACAGCCTCAGTCAAATCCCACAGCTGGCTCACAGCAGAAACACTCACCCTCTAGAGCCTTGCACATTGCTATGATCTTTGCCAGGCAGACTCATGCCACAAACACAAAGGATCACGCTTTTTATACACCCATGGCTGAGACGACATGCACCACAGAACCCAAAGGGCTTGCTAATGCTGGAAGGATGCTGACCTTTATCCTAAAAGATCAACTACTGGTGGAAAAACTGGAGGTAGATGCTCTGAGCACACCATTCCCTAGCCAAGTTGATGAAAACGCACTCACTTCTTTCTCCATAGGATCTGCCACCACCAAGCCCTGCTGGACATGAGTACAGGGCAGCAGGTTTATCCATCTGACTAGAGGAAGAAACCAAAGAGCATGCCTACCTTCCTCTCCTCCCGCTCTTCATCGTCAAAGGTGAAGCACTGAGATTTCTGTGGGGGCAAAACAGAAACAATCAAAATAAAGTAATAGGTTAAAAATCTACAGAACTCTTCCCCCAGGCAGGGAAAGTCCATTCATCTGGAAAGCAACAGATCTAAAAACACACTGCAAAAGCAAGCACATCACCTCAAGAACAGTCCCCACCGGCACAGAGCCAGGGAATCAGCGTGGCAAGGAGTGCCACAGTGCTAGAGAAGTCTACCATATTTCACAGAATATCAGGAGTTGGAAGGGACCTCCAAAGCTCATCCAGTCCAACCCCTGCCAGAGCAGGA